GCCGAAAACCGTTACACTATCACTCCTCTTTCTGTCCTGGCCTATCTATCTACTCTTTACCCTCTTATCCGACTGTCGCCCTATCACAATTTCTCACTTGTTTACATTCCACGCGCCTTTTTTATAGCAAATCTAATGTGGCTTCATCACACTTGCTATCCACCCCGACCTCCTCTCTTTCGATCGGCTGATCCGAATCGGGCCTCCAATCCCGGTCCCGCCATTGTCTCGTAGATCCTTTCCTTATCTTTCTGGTTGACCGATTTCAATCAGTTCCAGTCCCATTGTGCATTTCACTCTAGACGCAATTTATCAAGGCCCTAGAAGCACGTACATAGTCGCTTCACTGAGCAGAGCGCCTAATCTATGATTGCCATGCTTGTAGATATCACACCTTCCCTTCAGGGATCCTCTCTTTGATTAAACCCATGTTATCTGAGCAAACTATGGACGCCTATCTCTGGTCGCATGCAGCATCTCAAGTGGATTTCTAGTACATTTTGGCCATAACTCCGAATTTCCGTGACAGTTTGCTTATCCACCTGCCCAGCTCCTTGACTGCCAGACCCTTAAAGTTGTACTGGTTTATTCGAAATTGACATCAATCACTGATAACGTCTTCGCTTAATTGCCAAAACCCCCTGGCCCCACCTTCTTCATCGTGATCCATTTTCATCCGGTTAGCGGTAGATCTTTGATCCAGGCATCTCCTTTTTGCTGGTCTTGCTCTATACTTGTTTTCCTCGAGTTTGCTTAGGCAGTAGGCAAAGTTATCGCTAATTCTACATTCCTCCATTCTCCTGTTCATTAGATTTGTATCCCCAAGGATATCAATGGCCTCCCTGATCTTCGGCTTCCTTGCGTTGTCACCGTTTGGGGCTCTTCTTTCTATTGCCTTCCAATTGATTTCGTGTCCAGTCTGTGCGATGTGTTCCGCTAGTTCTGATCTTATGGTATCCATTTTCCTGTCGACTACGATGCCGGCGAAACGTTTGAGAATGTACCAAGTCCACTGTCTGATGCTGGGAATTAGGACAACTACTATAGCAGATGAGTCCACATTAGATTTGTTACAAAAAGGCGTGTGGAATGTAAACAAGTGAGATGGTGTGATAGGGCGGCAGTGGGATAAGAGGGTAAAGAGTAGATAGATAGGCCAGGACAGAAAGAGGAGTGATACTGTAACCGCTTCCAGCAGAACGGTTGTCGAGGGGTTGGCTTCACTTGTCTTTTTGACGAGTTCGTAGCTTGGTGCGGCGAATGGCAACGCTCACTGATGATGCCGACTACGATGCCGGCGAAACATTTTGAGAATGTACCAAGTCCATTGTCTGATGCTGGGAATGAGGACAACTACTATGTCAGACGACTGTGGACTATGTACGTTCTACTAAGTCGCCCTGACAACAAGACCGAATTGCGAAAACGAGGTCAACGCACTTCTATAAATCGAAAGGAGACTGCGACTATATCAGAGGCCACAGCATCTTCGTCTTCAGATCTTCAATTAAATTACGATGGTAAAATTGCCAAACAATGCACTGAATACAGCCAGACAAAGAAGACAATTGTAAGTCAATCTGCCCATCTTACTTTTTTACTCTGTTGTAAACGTTATGGTATCACTCATAAGTTCCGTGACCTTAAGAGACCCTACCACTCAGATAAGGCTAATAAGCATCTCCTGTCTCCGGAAGATTTTAAAAAACTCCCGAGCATGACAGACAGGAAATTACGTAGAATTTCTGACTTGATAACAAAATGGCATGACGATAAATTGTGTAAGCTTGGGATTTTTCGACAGCCTATGTTAAAGTCAGTACGCCCAGTTGAAGTGGCTTGCGAGGTGACAACACTTACTGATCAGCACGGCGATAGGAGGAAACTATTAAACTTATCCTCAATACCTCTCAATCCCGAAACAACTGAGTTCCTGGAAAAGGGACTCAATTTTTCAATTCAACATCACAGAAGCCTTTTAGGAGACATCCCGGTGGAGTTCATCAATATCGCCAACAAGTGCCTTAAGGAGACAAAACAGGAAATGAAAATGTAACTAATTCCAAAGATCTTGTCACAACAGGAGCCTACATACAGGAACAGATTTGCCGTGATACGCAAAACCCTGGAAACGAATGAGCAATGAGTACTTCAGGCGGACAAAGGAGGAGCTACAGTTATAATGGACAAAAAACAATATACCGAGAAGATGGAACGTATTCTACGAGACAGGACCACATATCGTATACTAAACAAGGACCCAACTATACAGATCAATGGAATCTTAAGTGCCATGTTAAAAGATATGCATAGCAATAGGGAAATTGACGAATGGACAAGAAATTCAATCATATTAAGGATTGACGACCACCAACAGATACAGAAGGAAGGCGCGCCACTTAGGCTAATAGC